CTTTCTTGATTTTAAGCCATGTAGTGTCCCAGTGCTCTGTCCAGTGCTAGTGTTTATAAGACGTGTTTTTATACCAAGTGTAGTCAATGCCTAGAGAAATATGTATTTTGCAAATGTGGCTACTCTTTCTTTCCTCCCGCAGTCATCAGACTTGATTTTTGATCTTGTTCGAGACAAGTCTCCTCATGGATTTTTTTGGAATTATTTTATTTCAGTAGAAAACATCCTGAAAAATGAATGATATTTTGTTTTATCAACATATAGAGCCCAAGTATCCACAACTGGACTAGCCACTTTTACAAAAAATAAAACCTTATACTTAGACATTTTGTGTCTCTGGCATCATCTAGAATGTGTTAGTCACCTAATAGGTACTAATTCAATACTTGGATAATGACTGATTTGACCAGTGTGGGAAGACCATGGCATTTTTAGATACCGTGTCTCACCCCACCATTTCTTGTGAAAGACAATGCTCTCTGTCTGTCCTGCCGCAGTTCCGGCTGCTGTGAGGTGGATGGTAATAATACCTCCCAAGGTTGCTGGAAAGATTCAATAATGTATGCACAGAGCTATGTGACCACGGAAGCTGACGCACAAGTCTTAACTCTTTCTTGTCCTTTGATGCCTTTAGTCTATTGTGGATGTGGATACAGAGGGTGAGCTGAGTTGGACTGCAGTGCTGGGCCCTCAGTGAACACTGGTGTGTGACTGCAGCCTGAATGGTACCTATTTCATGAGGAAGGGGAGACACGGAGATGCTGCCTCTTGTATAGGCTTAATAAGGCAGTAGCATAGGTGTGCCTAAGAGCACCTTCTCTTCACCTCTCAAGTATTTTCTCCTGCTTTGGTTACTGAACACAAACAAATGCATTCCCCACTCCCGGCTTCATCAGTCATAAGGATAATTTGATAATGCCTTAGGACCAACATTCCTGTTGAGTTATGAGTTAATGGAAAAGAAAAGCAATCTTTTCCACCCAACTGGTGGCCTACTAATAAAGAATTGTACTGCCAACCCAAAAGCATGTGGTTTGAATCCACCAACTGCTCCAAGGGAGAAAGACGGGCCCTTTCCTCCTGTGCCATTTATATCCTCCAAAAACCTGCTGACGGGCCAGCTGTAAGTCAGTTATGCCTCTGATAATGCATTTTGGCCTTTTTTTTTTTTTTTAAATCTTTCTTAATTTTTTTTTTCCCGGCACACATCTTAGTTTATTTTTACATTACTGGTTTGTATATAATAATTTGTTTACATTGTGTTTGATTCATATACATTGCTGGTTCTTTCGACCCCCCTCCTTATAACCCACTAAACCCTGCTATCCCGATCCCGTGATTTCTCCCCTTCCTCCCTGGGTCCTCCTGTCCCCTCCCCTTCCCTCTTGGGGATATCCATATACATCTCACTGGTTATCATTCTGTTTTGCAATAATGGTCTTATACAGTATTTGTTCTTATGTCCCTTAGTTCACTCAGCACCTTAGTCATTAAACGGGCATTATGCTGAACTTGTTCCTTTATGACTAAGTTGCTCAGTTTTGGTCTTTGTTGTTTTTAATAAATATACATTGTTGTTATGTACTGTAGTCAGAACCAACTCATAACTGACCCTCCAGTGAGTTTTCAGGGGCAATAAACGCGCAGGAGGAGAAATTTCCCATCTTTTGCCCACAGAGCAGCTAGTTGCCAGTGCGACTCCTTACCTCTGAGCCGCCAGAGCTCTCTACTACAGACGTGACCATTTCAAGGAGCTGCTCTTGCACACAGGGCTTTGGCCTCTTTCCTTTAATAGCTTTGCCTGAAGTATCCAGGTATGGAATTACTAGACCAGATAATAGGGTCATTTTACAAACCTTCATGTGTGTTGCTAAATTACATCCCAGAGCAGCTTGTTAAATTAGCTGTTTGCAGAGTATATGCTCTTTTAGGCTACAGTGTTGGCTTCAGATGGATCTTGAATAGAAGCAAAGAATACCAGAGTGATATTTACTTGTGTTTTATTGAGTATGTGAAGGCATTTGACTGTAATAATAAAAAATCATAGGTAACGTTGTGAAAAAATGGTAATTCTAAATCTCTTAATTGTGCTAATGCACAATCTTTGTGTAGATCAAGAAACTGTATTTGAGCAAAACATGGACTAATGGGTATACTGCATACTTTACAATTAGGAAGCGTGTATATCAGCATTATGTCCTTTCATCATACCTGCTGCTGTTAGGTGCTTTCGAGTCGCTTGCAACTCATAGCGACCCTGTGTCCAACAGCTCTGGACCCTGTTCTGTCCTGTGCCAGTTATTACCCCAGTCACTGAATCAGTCCATCTCATTGAGGGTCTTCCTCTCTTATGCTATCTGTCCATTCTTCCAAGCATGACATCCCTCTCCAAGGATTGGTCCCTCTTTGCAACATGCCCAAAGTAAGTGAGGTAGAGCTTCAAAATCCTAGCCTCCAGGAAGCAGCCTGGTTTCACCCGCTCCGGGATGAACTTGTTTATTTTCCTGGCAGTCCATAGTATATTCAGTACTCTTTTCCAGCACCACAGCTCAAAGGCATCAATTCTCCATCTGTCATCCCTAGTCATTTTCCACCTTTTTGATGCATAACAAGTAATTGCAAAGACTGTGGCCTGAATCAGGCACACCTTAGTCTCCACACTGACATCGTTGCTCTTCAGTACTCTGGAGAGGTCCTGATGGCTGACTTTCCCAATGGTGTTCGTCTTTTAATTTCCTGGCTGCTGAGACCAAGAGTGTTGATTATGGAGACAAGCAAACTGAAGCTGTTTATAATCTGAGTCTCTTCACTGTTTATCATGATGTTGCCAATCAACCCAGTGGAATCTTTGTTTCCTGATGCTGAGCTTCAATCTATAATTACTCTGTTGTGGTTTTTTTTTTTATTTTATTATTTTTGTGTGAGTGTACTGTCAAATCAGATCTAACTGGTACAGGAGAAGATTGTCCCTCCTTCACCCAGCAGAGCATCTGGTGGATTCGAACCGTGTGCCTCTGGGATTGTAGCTGCAGCTCCTTGCCACTAGGTCACCAGAGCTCCCCTCTCTGTTTTTATACTAAGCAAGTAATTTGAGAAGCTGGATTGTATGAAGAAGGATGTATGGTATCATGAAGAAGATACATCAAAACCTGTTATGCAAATTACACAACTGTGTTTGCAGAAAACAAGGAACTTATTGATGAAGCTCCAAGACTATAGCTTTTAGTATGAATCACACCGCAACATAAATAAAGCAGATGGCCTCCCAACTGGATGACTAAGCAACATTATGATAAATGGAGAAAAACTTGAAGTTGTCAGGGATTTCACTTTACTTGGATCCATTATCAACAAATCAAATTACATTAGTGCCATGGGCACATCTGGCATCAGGGGTAGTAAAGTGCAAGAGCAAGGTTGTCAGTTTCATGACTAAGGTGTGCCTGACTCAAACCATGGTATCTTTCATTTGCTTCGTCTGCATATGAAAGTTGGACAGTGAATAAGGAAGAGTGAAGAAGTATTGTCATTGAATTGTGGTGTTGGTGAAGGGCATCAGATATCCCTTGGACTTCAAAAGTACAAACAGATCTGCTGCTTAGAGACAAGGTTGCCAAGGCTTTGTCTCCCATTCTTTGGAGTTTATGGAAAAGTAGAAGATCAGTGAAAGAGAAGCACAAGTCCTAAATGAGATGGATTTACCCAGTGAGCCCACCAGGGGTATAAACACGACATTCTAAAGGTGGCACAGGATCAGGCCGGGTCTCATTCAGCTTCACGCATTCTCATAGTCACAGTAGGTGAGAGTGGACAAGGCGGAACCTAACAGTGGCAACCAGTACTGGCATTACTGGTTAAGTGCAAAATAGTCCTTCAGTTACCTTTTTTTATTAAGTATTTTACATGTCTGCTTGGTCATTTAGGGAGATCTGGTGGCCTGGGTACCGGCATAGCGAGTTGCGCTGCTACCCTACAGGCTGGGATCAAAGCCATCCTGGCCTTTGGTGGTTCAAATCTGTCTCTCTCCCTGGGATACAGAGGAGCTGTCTCCTCTCATGTGATTTACAGCTGTGGAAGATTGAAGGAGAGTCAGCTGTGGTTGGATTCCTTCTTGAGGGCAGTGAGAGAGATTGAATCATGTGCCCTAAACACGGCAGGGATTGTGAGGATGGCGCAGTGTCCGTCAGGGTTTTGATCTGTCTGCAGGGGTTAATACTGCATGACACCTAACAGCATCAACAGCATTTAAGTATTCTATTCTGTGTGACTTTTGACATTGATTTGTTTGATAAAGGTTTTGTAAATTAAACACTGAGACACTTTGTCATGCTTCTTGTCTAAAATGGATCCCTCGGTTTTATTTTCATTTCCTTTTAAGGGAGCTCTGTATTTTAACTCCTCTCTGGAGTTCTTTATAGGCCTGCCTGCTGTTTGGCTGAAAATTGACTCATGGAGGTGCTTTAAATCAGGCTTGTGGGGTGATGAAGGATAGTCATCTCTAGTCTCTCACCCGACCAGGAATCCTGGCCTGGGTGTGTGTGGTTTGTGTCTGTTAATTTGGTTTGTAGCCAGGGCCCTTCTGTAGTGATCCCCCTCTCGGAGCCATCGGCAGGGGTCGCCAGGCAGCTAGTACCTGTGGTCTCGAGGTTGTGAAGGTTGAGGCTCACAAGGTCTGTGTGCACTGTGGACTAATTGTTCCCATGGGCCTTTGATTTTCTTTGTTCTTATTTCAGACAGAAAGAAAGAAACCAGTCATTTCACCTTAGGCAGCTGCTTACAGGCTTTTAAGATCCTAGCCTCTCCTCCCTACAGGAGGATGCAGAACACTGTATTTCAGGAGCTGTGCTGTACCAGCCAGTTGACCTTGATGTCCCCCAAGAATATGGCCCCGAGGCCCCAGGATTTCCTATTTAAGTAGCCTAATATTCAGAAACTTGGTTTTATTGACCAGTTACACTATTAATGATAGCTGTACTTTTTTCTTTTTAAAACAGGAGTATGCTGCTGCTGTTCTGCTTTACGTCCTCGTTACAAACGCCTGGTGGACAACATATTTCCTGAAGATCCAAAAGTAATTTGATCTACATCTCCTGCTACTTCTCTTTGCTGACCCATTCTTCCCCCCGCTGACCTCCCCAAGGTTCCCCTAATTTCATTTCTCTACTTTTACCCCTAAATCTCATTGCACACATTACTGTTTCTGTACTTCTTATTCTTTTTTTTCTAACCTTTAGATGATCTATGTTAGTCTATGGAAGACTCTGAAAACAGGATAAGCTATCTAAGCATGAATCTGCTATTTTAGATCATTAAATAATACTCTTTTATCCTCTCTACAAAGCCAGAATTTAAGTAATATGCATTTATCAAAAAGTTATGAACTAGTGCAGATTATTTGGGCTAAGTGCTAAGAATAGAGCTGCAAGTGCAGATGGTTTTCTGCCCTCATCCAGTATCCAGACAGTGAAATGGGTCACCGCTCTGCTGCTCCTGTTAAACAGGGCTTTTGGAGAAATGATGTGCAGCTGCGAACAGAGTAACATCTTTGTTAGGATAAGATAGGCCTGGAGGAAATGACGTCTACAATGATGGTGTGTGAAAGGATAAAGAGAAAGGCAGTAGTGGGGAAAGAATGGTCTGGGTAGAGTTTATATTTTTATTAAATGTTG